CCAAGTAGTTTCGTACTGCCTACCCATTGTGCATAATATGTGTTGTGCTGTCAGCATGCCAACAAATCTAAGCGTTATTTATCACACAAAGGCGGATCTTCCCTTCAAAACTTTTATCTGCGCCTAGCAATATTAACTCTACACAAACCTTCAAAAAAATATTTCCCTGAACACTTATCAATACAACATGGTTTATACCAATAGTGAAACTCAATACGATCTTTAAATACCTCTAATTACAGATTATCTGATTAACTTATCCTCAAGAAGTTTTACCCTCTTCGCTAGTTTACTCATCCAGCAATAGTGCAGCCTAATTTGATTTGGATCGACAAGCAAACAACTGAAACTGAATCAAATCAAGATTCCCCAAAGTTATTTTCAAATCCTCCACAAAGCAAAATGCATTAAGAAATATTCAAATTCGAAATAATCTACATATTTGCCTTTCCCTGATTTGAATCAATACAAATCAAATTACACTCGGAATTTAATATACAGTACGTACTTGCTGAGGAAGACACTAGAAATAACTTTAGAAAGTATTGATTCCATTAATGTTTGTATATGTCTCAATTCTGAAAAGCCTTTATAATAGCCGAAAAAAATTGAACTAAAAAAAATATCTAAGAAATAGCAAAATCTGCCTTTAGCCAAAAATCCTTCCACGAAGACATCATATCTCCACGTAAGACATTTTTTTGTAGTATTCTATTTTCCCTCAAATTCTGAAATTGTCTAGTTATCTAAACCCAAGATGGCGGTTAGTGAAAGCGTATAGTGAAAAGTACACGTACACGTTACACAGGACGTTTGCCCCTGGCGCATAGGCAACTCATTTGGCGGCAATGTTTGGCAGGTAGCTAGGTGAGTTCTGGCGTTGTCTCCATACAAGACGAGTTGTCTGCCAAGCAGGGCAAAATGACTCGGGTATTACATGTGAATTCTCATTACTAGGACTCGAATTTTAACCAAAACCTATTTTTACTTAAGGATTTTACCTAAATATCAGCGAAGTATTTAGTATTTAAAACGACCATAAATGTGTCGTGAAAAAAATTAATTTATTTTTAGTATATTTCAAAACCTTTTTAATTATTTTTGTATAATTTTTTTAACTGCCCCAAAAAATTGTGCTTATAGTAAATACTTTTTTTGTCTTTTAAATCATAACCAGCACTTATTTTTAAAATATTTGCGGGTGTCTTCCAACACGAAGAACAAAACAATAAAATCTTCATTTCTCCCGACGGTGCTAATGAAATTATCTCCAAAATTACGAACAAAAACTTCCTTCATGCTGTTGGAGCATATAATTTTCGGCATTTCAAACCACACTGAGTAAGTGTTCAAACTGGACGGCGTGACCACGAGTGCAATGTTGAAGTCGGAAGCCACCTAGTCGGCTTCGAGAGCTTTTTGTCCGGCCGAGGTGGCTCAGGGAATCAACTGACGTCACCGCAGAGCCTCCGCGGTTCGAGTCCCAACAGTGGCTGGATTTTCGACACTAGATACCAATGCTAGATCGTACTCAGTCTCCGGCTGGGGGAGAATTGTAGCTGCCGGTTGCACTCATCAGTTTTTTATTCTCATTTCTCTACTCAAGGATGAATGCCGAATCAGTACCCTAACAAAAGGGCAACGGACCGTGCGCGATCTTTCCTTCCTCTTCCTAGTCCTATCCTCTCCCCTTACTTATACACACACACACACTCACGTGCACTGTATTATCACACTTGTCGGGAGCTTAGAGTTTGTCCCTTCTGAGTCGATGCCACACTTGTGGGAGATACCTGGTTGGGGAAATACTCTGCAAGCCGACGTAGATCTGTACCGGATGTTGCCATTCAGTGGGGGGGGGAGAGAATCACCATTTCTTGCGATGAAAAAACAGAGACTCCTTTTACGGGATTAATGACCTAAATCGTTTACGGTCCTGGAATAATCAGTGAATCATTCAATCAGTCGAGAGTATTTTGCCGTCCTCGAGGTTCAATGATAGGGATGTGATATCTCCAACAAAACATCGATTTCTGAATATCGATGCTCAGAACTAAACCGCCGATATTAATAAAATATCGAATCAAAACCATTGATGTTATTAAACGGGATTAGTAGCCAAACTGGATTTGTTTACGCGGTGGGATTTAATTTCAAAGAAGGCTCGATTATTAATTTTTAATTGAGGGTTAACTGACAAAGCCAAGTCAAAAATTCATCAGGACAATTCACAAAAATTTGTTTATCTGATTTGATAATTCAAAAACAATGTTTACGCAATAAAAACACATTTTTCATGTCTGAATTTATGCATACGTTTTTGTAATATTCACTCTAAAAAAATAAAGAAATAAATGACATGTCTTTAAAATCCAGGTCATACCCGTTTCATGTTCATGAGCAACAAGTGGCCATTTTCGTCAGTTCTGCATTCAGATTTGTGAGATTTACTTTGAAACATCCTATTTAATATGCTAAGGAAGTAAAACGGATTGTGCTATAAAATCGACGCACCCGCCAATTTGCTTCTGCTGGACAGACATTTATCTTCCAGGTCGCATCGTGCTGATTGAAGGCGCAACATGCAGAATTGTATAGATTACGATGCAAGGAAAACATCGTAATGAAGGTGCGGCAATTAGCAACAGCCGCTTGGCTGCAGCACTCACGTAATCATCCTGCCCCACTCGGACACGGCGCGTCGGAGCTCATTGAAAAACCGGACCCAAGGCCGCATTCTATTACAAAATGCGACCTTTTTATTTGATCGTCTTACTGGGTACTTACGTGGTACTGGGAAGGAAGTAATGTATTGTTGCAACGGGAATCGGCGACTTTACGACAGAAAACCTTGTGTTGTCGGAACGTTGTAACGAAACAGATAAATCTTGTTCCTCGTGAATGCTGTAAATTACTTCCTCTAACACGTTATGTAGTCAGAATCCACGTTTAGTGGGTTCTTGATACCGAAAAAATCGATTGACGGGAAATGGTCTGTGGTGAAGGTTGGCGCTTAAACCGTTCAGCTTTTTTTTTTTCTTCAAAATCGATATTCTCCGGTCGATCTAAAGGACCTCGAAGTTCTGCGAGTTTGATTTAATTTATGCTTTGGGTAGGCTCATAACCTTGATCAAGCCGTTAGCTCTATGAATGGCCACGTTTGTCGGCACAATTCTTGACCGCCTAAGGCAGGATTCGCTGTGTATGGGGAGAACTTCGATTCCAGTTTCCTCATAACTTTGATGATGCGTTCATCTCTACGAAATACCATATTTGTCGACAACATGGGTGATCGCCTTCATGACAGGTCTCACCGCGTGTGTGAGTGTATTTTATTGCAGTGCCCGTTCTAGTCGTACTCTTCATTTCATTTCTTGTATTTGATTTACAGCTCTAGTCTTTTCTTAACGTTTATCAAGCGGTCATCCCTATGAACGGCCAACTTTGTCGACACCATTGGGGACCGCACAAGGCAGGCTTCATCATGCGTATGTGTGTGTTTGTTGCACAAGGCCCGTTGCAGACAGATGCTTCTCTTTATTTCTTATATTTGATTTACAACTCTAGTATTCTCCTAATCTTTATCAAGCGGTCATCTTTATGAACGGCCAACTTTGTCGAGATCTTTGGCGATCGCCCATGGCAGGCTCGTTCCAGGCAGATGCTTCTCTTCATTTCTTAGATTTGATTTTCGGTTCCAACTACCTTTTAACTAAACACCTAATTTTTTTGTCTTTATACTTACCGTTCTCAAAGATGTAATCCTGGCGAATCGTCTGCGACCTAACACAATATCCAATTTTTTAGTAACATATTTTTATATATTTAGTACTACATTACATATTTTATTATTTTCACAAAATATTTTTTATCCTATTAATTTTCTTCAAATTTATTATATTTTTTAGTGAAAAGAAGTATTTTCAAAACAATCTGAAATTTTCCCCACATTATTGTGGGAGTGCTGTCGACTCGGGTGCGCTACGTGAAGACGAGGTTGCTTGTTCTTACAGTCCAGTTCAGCCGCTTCAGTTATTTCAGAGGCGGAAATTCAGCGGCACATCTTTTCGCCTTTAAGTAGGAAAAGTATCACTGGCCCCACGTCTCGTGACCTTTGATCTTAATTGTCGAGAAACTTTGGCGATCGCCGACGTGTAACACTTCGGTGATAAGTTTGCTGGTCGAAGATATCGCTAGTTAGTACGATGGCTTTCATCTAGTCCGGCTGCTAAACTACGGTCCTTAATCGTAGATGAAGCCTTTGTTGCTGAAGAGAAAGTGGTTTGCAGCAAACTGTGCATCAAATTGTGGCTTTCATGTTATTTTTAAAATGATTGTATTATTTTTAAAATTTGTTTAGGATTTTTTTATAATAAAGTAATTTTGTATTGTGCAAATGTCTTTTATAATAAGTGTATACTAATATTACATATTACATCCGATTTTGATTATTTTTATAACTTTTATTTATTTTAATTTTTATTATAATTTTTTATTGCCCTATTTATGTTCATATTTTGATGAATCATATTTTTCCGGCAAGGCCGTCTATGACCTCCCAAGGCAGACTTTGATCCTCCAAGGCAGTATTTGATCCCCTCCCCCCCCCCAAGGCAGGCTTTGACCGCTCAGCAGGCTTTGGCCACCTAAGGCCGGCTTTGACCTGCCCAAGGCCGGCTTTGACCTGCCCAAGGCCGGCTTTGACCTGCCCAAGGCCGGCTTTGACCTCGCAAGGCAAACTTTGACCCCCAAGGCCAGCTTTGACCCCCAAGGCAGGCGTTGACCGCTCAAGGCAAGCTTTGACCGCCTAAGGCAAGCTTTGACCGCCTAAGGCAAGCTTTGACCGCCTAAGGCAAGCTTTGACCGCCTAAGGCAGGCTTTGACCGCCCAATGCAGGCTTTGACCGCCCAAGCCCAGCTTTGACCGTCCAAGTCATGCTCATGGGCTTGGTCCGCCCAAGGCGAAGCTGACGGCGCTTGTGTGTTGGTGTGTCGTTTCAGAGGGCCCGTTCCAGTCGGACGCGCTGCTGGTGCCCGAGTCGTGCCTGTTCGACCACATCCACAACCAGACGCGCTGCTGGGCGTTCGACCGCTGGAACGCGACGGCGGCGCGCGCGTGCGGCGAGCGCGACCTGGCGCTGCGCTCGTTCGCCATGCTGCTGCCCTGCGGCATCTCGCTCTTCTCGGGCGTCGAGTTCGTCTGCTGCCCCAAGCACTTCAAGGGTGAGCGCCTTCAAGCGTCTGTCTGTCTTTCTTTCTTGCTTTTCCTTTCTTTCTTTCTGTCTTTTTCCTTCTTTCTGTTTTTCTTTTTCTTTCTTTTTTTTCTTTCTTTTTCTTTCTTTCTATCTTTCTTTCTGTCTTTCTTTTCCTTTCTATCTTTCTTTCTCTTTTATTACTTTCTGTCTTTCTTTCAGTTTTTCTATATTTTTACTTTCTTTCTGTCTTGCTTTCTTTTTCCTGCCTTTTTTTCTTTTTCCTGCCTTTCTTTTATTTCTGTCTTTCTCTCTTTCTTTCTCTTTCTTTCTTTCTGTCTTGCTTTCGTTTTTCAATTATTTTCATGTTTTATTGTTTTAATGTAAATCTTGTATCCAAAATACTAATTTTTTGACAAAGGCGTTACATCTTGTGACGTCATGGATACTCACAGCGACCACAGACACAGAGCTTTCGTATAACAAATATATTTATTAACAAGAAAACAAAACAAATATATACACTTAATAATCTACTTACACCCTAGCTCTGATAGACCTACTATCCCCTGATCGCGGGAGCGATCCAAACCCGATTGAAGATGGTTTTGATTGTGGCATTCGCCACTCCTACTTTTGAAGCGCGCACAAAGCCTAGCTTCCGTGACCGGATGTCACGCTGGGACACAAAGTCCGTTCTGGCGCACCAACGGCTGGTTTGCCTCGATCGCAGGAGCGATCTTATCCGATTGAGAATCGGCGTGAATCGTGGCACTCAACCACTCTTCACCTCGGAGCACGCACACAGCATCGCTCCCCCGTGACCGCAGTCACCCAAGGACCTAAAGTCCGCAGGCTTCGTCAACTAGTGACTCGAGCCTCGCGAGCCTGGCTCGCATATGCACCGTCTTGGCGCCAAGTTTTGTGCACACGCACGAGGTTCTCCCACCGTCTCCAGAACCTGCCTACTGGCTCCGTACACTCTGTTATATAGGCGAGGCCCACGTGACCTACTACGTCACGCCACCCCCTCGCTTGTTATAACAGTGAAAAGCTTCTATAAGTCGGAAGACACCCAAAGCCTTGTGTCTCCCGTCTCCGCGTTCTTCCCTTTACGGAAAAACCCTTCTTCCTGTGGCGAAACTAATCCGCAACCAAGCGTCCCCAAATAGATGCCATGAGGCACGCTGGCTAATACGTTACAATCTACAGACGCAAAGGAAAATAATAATTTAAGTCTACGGAATGTCCTATCCTGGCTATGTTAAATATTTCAACATAACTTTCCAAATATATTAGTAGACTTTCGAAATTTTTACAGGTTACAGGTGTATCACTCGCAATAAGACTGAAATAACGGTTTATTAATTTTGTAGATAAAATATTTTTCCATTGTGCAAATTTTTACCACATTTTGTAGCAAGTTCTGCAGAATGGATAATACTATCGGTAATCAGAGCTCAGACTTCACTATTGCACGTTACTTTTTCTATAGAGGGAATCAGTGTTTTAATGCTGATTCCATTTTTATACCTCAGTCTTCTGCGATGGGTTGAAATGATGAATAATGAAATAGTCACACACGAATAAATAGAGACACACATACACAACACAACAATGCTCCGAGGCGTAGCTCGAACACGCGATCCTTTGGTCTGACACCGCCACAGCAGTATTGCCTTAGCGATTTCGGCCATCGGATCGGTATTATTATTATTATTATTATTATTATTATTATTATTATTATTATTATTAATGAAGGTGTGAGTGATGGTGAGAGATGGCAGGAGAGAGGTGATCGTGGCAGGTTTGAACCAACCCAGCCTTACGGCGGCCTTTCGACCACGAAAGGAAATCACGAAAACCCCCCGGGGGATCGAACCCGGCCATCTCGATCGCGCACTTGAGCGCGCTACGCACTGAGCCCCTCGGCTCGGGTTAAATAAGGCATAGTTGAATCATCACACACATACACAACACAACCATGCCCCGAGGCGGAGCTCGAACACGCGATCCTTTGGTCTGACACCGCCGCAGCAGTATTGACTTAGCGATTTCGGCCATCGGATCGGTATTATTATTATTATTATTATTATTATTATTATTATTATTATTATTATTAATGAATTTTGAGGTGTGAGGGTGAAGGTGAGAGATGGCAGGAGGGAGGTGATCGTGGCAGTTTTGAACCATCCCAGCCTTACGGCGGCCTTGCCACCACGAAAGGAAATCTCGAAAAACCCCCAGGGGGATCGAACCCGGCCATCTCGATCGCGCAATCGAGCGCGCTACGCACTCAGTCACTGGGCTCGTGTTAAATAAGGCACAGTAGACTCGAATGCAATGGAACTGCGTGTTTTTATTTGGCCGCGCGCGCCCCAGCGCCTCGGTCCAGCTGCAGCCTGCGCGAGCGGTGCAGGGCGGGGCGGCGCGCGAGGGCGGCGGCGGAGGCCGGGGGCGAGGCCGGGGGCGAGGTGGCGGCGGCGACGGCCAGCACGCCCAGCAGGGCGAAGGCCAGCGCCAGGGCGAGCACGGGCGCCGGCGGCAGGTAGTAGGTGAAGTGCGCGCTGGCGGCGCCCTGCTGCACGAAGGGCACCTGCATCGCCTGCAGGGTGCTCATGTCGCTGCAGTTGGCGGCCGTCGCCTGCACCCAGTCGGCCGACTCGCCCACCCACACCCACAGCCTGCGGCGGCGGCGGCGGCGGCGCGGGCGCCCCGGACGGTTCAGAGGTGGCTCAGGGCGTCTATTGGCGTCGCTCCAGCCTCCCTCTGACCCAGCGTTGCACTCCCGATGGAGGCAGGATTATCGAAACTAGCTTGTCTGCTAGCTTAAGTGGAGTCGCTGTCTGGAGGAGAATTCTAGCGGCTGACTGCTCTGGTTGGTAGTTTTACGTTGTTTCTCCCATCAACCTCAGGCGAATGCCGGAGCAGTACCCTCACAAACGGGCCACGAACAGCGCGCCATCTTTCCTTCCACTTCCTTGTGCAATTCTCAGCCCTTACTTACACACAGTTACACTAACATGCTCTACACTACCACACATTGCGGGAGACCGGTCGGGAGCTGTGAGCTTGTGCCGGTTGGGGCGGTGCCTTGCTGGTGGGAGATACCTGGTTTGGAAAGAACCCGCTAGCCGACGGTAGGTTGGATCTCGCCATACAACGAGGGATGATCTCCCGAGCAAAAACATGCACTACACTCACGGGAATAAATGACCTAGTTGTTGACGTGCTCGAAATCACTAACAATCAATGAATCAATCGGCGAGGCTCAATCCTCCCCTGTTCTCCCTCCCTCCCTCTCTCTCTCTCTCTCTCTCTCTCTTTCTCCCTCTCCCTCCTTCACCTCTTTCTCCTCGTCGCCGATGTCCTCCCCTCACTGCTTTCCTTCTCCCCTTCATCGCTCTCCCATCACCCCATCTCCTTACCCCTTTCACCCCTTACCCACTGCATCTCTCCCTTTCACTCGCCCGTTCCCCTTCACCCCTATCGCCTCCTCTTCCTTCACTCCCTTCCACTCACTCGTTTCCCCTCTGCTCACTCTTTACTGCTCTGGCATTCGCGTGGTGTTGATCGGAGAAAATACCGATCAGAGCAGCCGACCGCTAGAATTCTCTACCAGACAACGGCTGAATTCGACCTAGCTGACGTAGCGTAGTGTCAAAAATCCCGCCACTGTTGTGACTCGAACCCCGGTCAAAGGTACTGATGCGACATCAATAGCAAAACATCAATGTTGGTAAACATCGATGTTCAAATTAAAAACATCGACTAACAACCATTGATGTTTTTCAACATCGATGTTTTAAAGCTGCTTTAGTGACCTCTTAGATTAATTTTGTCAGCAACAAAATTTAATTTGAACGTATTCGCGTTTATCATTTCGTCTTATAAGGGTACGAGAAGAAGGGACAGGCCCTACGCCTACAGCGAATTTGTTAATCATATCTCAATGTGCGAAATGAATATGAAGAGGAAATACAAGGGATCGGAGGTTATCTCTGGCGAGTGAGTTTGGTCGGTAAAGGTTGTGCAAATAGCGTTCCAACACATGAATAACACTGTTACTATCGGTATTCATTTCATATATTAATTTTACACTATTGTGACCATGTGAACTTTTTCTTTCGAAAACAAAACATCGGGGGGATGGGGGGATAACGTCGATCACAGAACATCGATGTTAAAAAACGTTGATGTTAAAAAATATCGATGTGAAAAACATCGATGATAAAAACATCGACGTTAAAAGACATCGACGTTAAATGACACTGATGTTAAAAACATCGATGTGAAAAAACATCGGTGTTAAAGAACATCGACGTAACAAACACCGACGTTAAAAACATCAACGTTAAAACATTGTCGTTAAAACATCGATGTTAAAAATATCAAAGTTTTAAACATCGATGTTTCCATAAAAAAACATCGATGTTTTTGAAAACATCGGCCTCGATGTCGCGTCCCTAGTCAGAGGCCCTCAGCTGATGCCCTGAGCTACGCCAGCCTTTTTACCTGCGCGCCACGTTGGACACGGCGGAGCAGCGCTTCTCCTTCTGGTTGCCGATGTCGGTGCCGCGGGTGTCCGACGTCAGGAAGAGGACGTCGTCGACGCTCTCGAGAGGCACGCGGAAGGCGGCCAGCGCCCCGCCGAACTTGGCGAACGCGGAGTGGCGCGCTGCATCCGGCGCCCGGTCGCGACAACAGACGCAAACAGGAGTATAACGCGCGGACGTAAACACGAACATGAGTGATAGACTGACGTGTTCACGATGGCTAACATAAGCGTAAGCAAAATAAAGTGCCATTCACAACGCAAACATAATCATAAGCATAACGCGCAGAAGTAAACATGAGCATGAGTGATAGTCTGACATAAACGTAACAAACGTAATGTTGTCTAACATAAACGTAAGCAGAATAAAGGGCCATTCACGACGAAAACGTAAACATAAGCATAACGCGCAGAAGTAAACATGAACATGAGTGATTGACGTATTCACAGTGTCTAACATAAACATAAGCAAAATA